ATGGAAATATTCAGTCTGAATATTGGCCGGTACATGTACAGTATATTAATTACCGTACCTGCGTTACCTTACACATTTCATGAACCTGCTTTAAAATTCACCCTCGTACCTGACTGTGACAGTACTGAGCATGCCTTGACAGGGTGACAACTCAGCATCGGCAGGCAGCCTTCAGGTACTTCACTGAATGTGTGCACTGAGCTCACATCCATTATTTCTTTGCTGCCTGCTCAATCTGAATGCTGCAGTCACACACTGTCCAGGCTGTTGGCGCATTGACAGGGGAGCATTCTTTCTGGAGGAGGGTCCATACTGAGTGTCTGGTTCCCACTGTGAACATCCATCTTTCAGCATCTGTGTGGGCCCCCCCCCCACAGCACTGGGGTAGCAGTTGGAATACACATCCTGATGGGATTATTTGAACAGTTGAACTTTGCTCCAGCACTGAAGCCTACAATATACAAACTCAGTGATTGATTGTTCTTGTAGCAACCCCTGACTGTCTTGTCTCTCATCTCCACCAGCAGACCCCCCAAGAAGCCCTGAGTAGTCCTTCCCACAGCTAGTACATGTTCATGGTCAAGGTCCCTCATCCGTCATCTGCTCGCGGGACTCCTTCCAACTGAGGGAGCGACGCACTGTGCTGCTACGATGCCGTCCAAGAAGAACAAGTACAACTTGGTGGAGGATGCCTTTGACACTCGAATCCCGCTTCACAGCGAGGAGGCTTTCCAGCATGGGATAGCATTTTCGGCCAAGGTAAGTCGCGCCGTGTACCTGGTATCCCTGCAGTAGTGCGTGTTCATGAGCAACAAGGAAGCCAGTGAAACTGTTTCTGAGGGTTTTCTGATATTTGTGTTCATCGTGCAGAATTTCCCTGAAAGCTTAATTTTTTCCTCAGTAAACCCCGCAACCTAAAATCAGACAAAATGCAATGCAGTATTTGAAGCATTTTTGTTGATTTGTACCCGGTACATGTAGTGTATGTACACAGTGGAGCTGTTGGTGGTAATGCTAAGATTATTGAAATTTATCAGAGAGGATCCGTGAAAGACTTCTTTTTCACTCCCTTTGGATGGCACAGGAAAGTACAGTTAATGTAAACTTTACAACAAAATTAGCATACACTGTTTCTTATTCGTTTTAGGCTATGTGACATAGAAGTAGTCATAACACGGAAGAAGAGTGGGTGAAAAAGAAAAACTTCATTTCTCAGGAAAATTCAGGATATTGATTTCATTTTTGAATTGTGTGCCTTTACTTACAGTACTTTGTGTAAAATGATTTGGCTTGGCATTCCTAACTTTACAAATGTTCAGTTCTTAGTGTGTATTACAGTATTTGTCCAAAGTTATTTTTGTCAAGAATGTCATTCGGGTCACATTCATTTTTCCCTGGGTGAGCAGGTGAAAGGCATTCCTACCCGTACTGGTCTGTTTTTAAAGTCTGCAACACCACCATACTCAAGGGAAAACTGGCTTGGTTGTGGCTTGGAAGCTGTTCAGATCCTCTCAGTAATCTGGCCATTAAGGAGATCACTTACCCAAACACTCCAGGAGATCTCCAGCCCAGATCTCATTCCCCCTGCCCAAAGGCATCTGGTCCAGCACTCAACCACTGAAAGTGATTAGACCTCTCACCATCCCATCTCAGTGTGTCCTGGGGGAGGGGGGACTGCAGTCCTGGATCACTTTCAGGAAATGTTGGTGTGGACTCACAGGTCACAAACTATGAAATTTGTGCTCAGTAATGAAGAGGCAAAATTCATACTTTGCTGAGTCTCAATTGACCTTTTTTCCAGACCCCTGCAAATTTTTTACATTTGGGAGTGAGAATGTGTATAAGTCTGAGCAGGAGAATGTAAGAATGCTTTCAAATGTGAGGGTCTTGCCCAGAGCGGACTTCCAGCATTTGTAAACATTACATTTCTAATCCTTTTAACAGGTATGAAGGAGTAAATTATGCACTGGTACTCCAGTTCCAATTCGGCCACATGTGAAATGATGTTTTCAAAATGGTTCCATTTCAATATGAATCTCTCTCCTGGACTGAAATGTCCACCAAATGAAACCTTATCTGAAACACTTCAATTTGCGATGGATTCTTACACATTGAAAATTTCTCCTTCTTGAGGAATTTCAATCGGTTTTGTGAAATCCTTGTGGAGACCTACATGTATTCACCTTTAGAAATTCCTTGTGGAGACCTATTCAACCCATTCTTCTGGGTCTCCACAAGGCACCGTATTTCAGCACATCTGAACAAAGCCATGTCTCCACAAGGATACAAATTTCAGAATGGGTGTACATGATGAAGAAATGTACCGGGTCTGTCAAATGTGGAAATACAGGAATGTTTGCTAAAAACTGGAGCAGGGCTACATGCACACGTACACATGTACTGTTCATGTATGTAAGTGAGTGCACTGTTCGAGCTCCACATGTGGCATTCGATCTTTATCAGATTGTCTTTGACTTATGTCCTGGCTGGCTGCGCACACATGTACATGTACAGGGGGGGTATAAAGAGCAGCCCACATGACAGCAGATTGCCAGCTTGATTTCATTCGTCCATCTTGGTTGAATGTGTAGCTGCAATTTATTGTTCAGATCAATTGAGTGCTGTTTAGGCTAGCTTTGGCAACAATACCAGAATAAAATGAGCATGCATTAATGACATTTCAGCATAATTTCAGTCAAACTGCATGGGTTGTTGCTTTCTGCTACCCAGTAGGCCTATGCTGTACTGTATTATGCCGTACATAGACTTGGCTTTGAAAGACTGGGTACTAGTACATTGTACATACCGGTACACTGTACAGGTATTTTGTAAATTGTGCTTTCCAAAGAATATTCAAATCTCAATTGCCCAATGTAACCTGCAATAATAATCTCAGGCTAATCTAAGTAATCTATCTTTACAAACCTGTCACCCTGTACCCAGATCTTGAGATAATCTGTAGTCAGTGCCCTTGTTGCCGTGTCTTGGTGCACTTCATTTTTTGAAAGTCCTTCCATCCTGGCCCTTCCCTCTTCCTGCCAATCGGTTGCTCCCTGACTACTCATTATCTCAAGTGCCCCTGCAGCTGCTCTCATCGCTTGCCTGCAGAATCATATGATGCAAGATACTTTGTACATGTACATGTATGGGGCGGAGAGAACCCCCCTGTCTTTGTGTTGGTCATTGTTTGATCGGAATCTCAGGAATTCTTTACAGACTTCTAGGGGGGATGTGTTAGGTAACAATACTCTCGAGTGTGTATAGGGATTGGACATGTGGGGGGAGGTACCCATTGGCCCCATATCGTGCACAATATCTGCAGAATCCTTGGCCGGTTCAGTTTTACAATGATAGAAATACCGGTACATGAAGACCAAATGCACAAAGGGAAAAGGTCTAATGTACCGGTACATGTACCTCAATGAAATGCTATCACTTTTCACATCTACAGGTATACTCATGTAGCTATCAAAATACTGTTACAATAAGACCACCAGAGCTTTTAAAGTGGAAAATACTGGGTTTTTTTGTACCTTTGCTCAGATTGCAAATATTTGGGTAATTGAACAGTAACTGGGATAGGGTTGAGAAAGTCTAGCTGACTGTAAGAGTGTGTAGGCCCTATCCTAATTTTCAGCATATTTTGAAAACCCTCTTTTCGGTAACGATATGGTTTTCGGTTACAATATAGGTGAAATACGGGGCGCATGGCCTCCATTTATGGGACTGGAAACTGAAATTGTCCTTAAATATGCTCCAACTTTGCAGTAGTGCTCAGCATCTATGGTATATGCACCGGTACAGGTACTGTAATGTATAAAACAAAAAGTTGCAAAAGCTGCCCCAGAAATTCCTACAAGTTGTGACACTTTTTTTAAATGTAAATTATAGCTGGAATGTTTGTTTTCTTATGTTTCCTTGGGTAAGAGGGCAAAAGGTTCTCCACGGACTTCCAGGGACGAGCCCTTGCTTTAATTTTGGCCTGACATTTAAAGGAGAAAAACCAATGGGGAGAGGGGGGTAATTCATCTTAGAAACTTTTTCTACAGCTGCTTAGGCAAAATCTAGGCATTTAGTCTTTTATGAGTCCCCATCCTGCATGAGCATTTTTTGTGTATTAACCCTAACCCTCCTCAATCCTTTACCTGTTGGAGGACTGAGGAGTGTTAGGGTTAACCACTTGCTGCTGGTGGCAGTTATCAATGTTGATAATGCTGGGGTGGGATAATTATCATTTTTTTCTGTTTTCAAAATTCTTTAAAAATTCCTACATATATCTTCATTTACTGGACACTTACATGTACACCCACGTGAAGGACTGTCTGGTGGGTACTCTAGTCTGACAGACAAAAATCTGTTGACGCCCGAGGTTTTCAGCCAGGCTTACAGCCTTGTAAAAAGAGCCCAGATTGTGCGCGGTGTTATATACATGTAGCTTTCTTTTGTTCCCAAACCTGGCACAGTGTGCTGCTGACCTCTTTTCAATAGGGGCCAGATTAGCATGCAGCGGTGCTGTGTGGCTCATCGCTGCAATGGTGGAGCGCTTTTGTCTCCATTGGTAATCCGCTCGCTCTAAATGCCCCAAACGTTGGTATACCGTTTCAAAACAAGGCTGGATTATCTCCACTTTTGAGAGTGACAAACTGATGTTCCGAGTACGGTCTTTTGTTACAAGACCCCTAGTTCCCTTTGTCCGATTTCAGAAACCCCGGCCACGCATGTAAATCATACATGTCCTGTACCGGAGTCCCCGGCAGGAAGTGGTTAAAGTGGAATCCCTTTCAGATTCCCATGTACACTTCACACAGATGGTTTCAGGATTTCAATTTGGACATACATGTAGATATGTACATGTTAAATGTACCGGTATATTGCATTTTCTCTTTGGTACCAATATGCTTTGTTGGCCAAGGAATTTCAAGTGCTGATGACCACATGTTCGTACATGTACATATGACATACACTGTACATGTACAAGTGTAACATTGTACATGTGCATGTGTACCAGTACACCTGGGCATTTTATAAGAATTTGATTTTTGATAAAATTGGTGTCAAAATTACTGTTTAAATCTATTTAACACTGGAAAAATATCAGAGGCTCAATGAAAAAAATTCCATTTGATGGAGTTTTGTTCACTTGTATTCCATGAACTTTTTATGTCCATTCCACATTCTGTAAACTACATAATTGTTTATTTAAAAGAAGAGATCTACCGTATCCACATGGTGTTAGTTACTGTACCGCACCCCTTACCGGTATCTTATCTAATTCTTTTTTACCCATACTAAAGATTCAAAGGTCGTTTTTTCTCACCACGGTTGGAAACATGTCAGACGTTTACATGTACATGTACATGCACATTTTTTTTTCCGGGGGTGGGGCTCCGAAGGGGAACTCCAAGTACCTGCCGGTCGGGCTTTTCCCAATATTCAACCTCCTTTTGTGTCTTATATTTCATGTGGAACTGTATATATACTGATTACACATTTGGTGGAGAAATGCTCCACTGCAGTTGTTGGGTTTTTCCCATTCTGTCGGGTATGCACATTATAAATTACTGTAACAAACATTTGTATAGCCTTTTTACATGTTTTATTGCCATGTCTATCACGGATCTGCCGCTGCCGGTCGGGCAAAATGCCTACATTAGGTGGCATAAGGAATTGTTACACAATGTTATACATTGCTTGACAAGTGGTTTTTTTTTCTAGAGCTTGAGTGTCACGTAGGCAGTTGTTGTTCTGACAGCAGTGAG